CATCAATTTCATTTTTTGCTTGCTTGCCAATTTATGTATCCTCTAGTTGCTATTGATTTTGCGTTTTAGAGAGCTGCATTGCAAGGAAAGAATCTTACTAAAGTCACTCTACAATCCTTTGTTGCATGGAAGAAGCGGAAGTTACGTGAAAAGAAACAGAAGGAGGCTGACGAGGAGAAGGCGAAGAAGGACAAGATCAAAGCTGGTAGAGCGGTTAGTTTTTTCTTCCCACCTAGCTAGACAGGCTTCAGATTTCATAAATTCAGTATAGCACAATATATTTCAAGTAGCATTAAAAACGCTGATATCATCTTTAAGGTGGTGCTTCAGAGTACAATACGAAAAGTATCAAAGCCAAATTGTTTCATATGGCTATCACTATTGCAATTTACCTTAGAATCCCCTTTCTTTCGTATTCCTATGTATACCTCATTTCCTTTGGAAAAAATCCACCCTTAAAAAAATAGAAGTTTTCTTCTTATCTCACCTCACATACTCTTTACTTTCTTTATTTTTATATTCATGCTTTGTCACTTTGGCAATATGAACTGTAAACAAACGTATTTCAGCTCGGAATGAGCGGTAGGGATCTGTTTACGTTCAATGCTGATGCATGCGTGGACGACGAAGATGCAGAAGATGTTGAATTCGAACACGAAGAAGTCGATGCAAGTTTCATCAAGACTTCTTTTATCATAGAAATTTGTTTCTATCACCTAATCACGATTATTACTATTTAATTTATTACGAATTTACTATGAAATGCCTGATTTAGCCGGATGAGAAGGTGTTTGAAATCGACAACAACTTTTTCAAATTCGAAGGAATGGATGACGATTTAGATGAGGAGGTTACACCAGCTAATGCAAATACTGCTACTACTGATGGATTAGCTCAAGGCAACATTTCTTTCAATTTGTTTGTGATGCATTAAGAGTACCAATGTTTAGGAGTTGCATCGGTTGCAATTAATGAAGAGTTGTTTGACGTTGACGAGGAACTAGAAGGTCTAACTTCGGATGAGGATGAACCAACTGCCTCTGCAGCGGTCAGCTGATGCATCGCACGTCTCTGCATGTTCACCTTCTCTTAAGCTCAACCAAAAACTAAGTTTTCCGATGTTTAAAACTCAGTCACTTTTGTAATTATCTGTTCGAAGATTTCTTTGTTCTTGTTGAACTGCGAATGGCTCTTCTCTTTTTTTGATCCACTCGGTTAATCCCTGCTGTTTTCTTTCCAATCTAACCTGGGTATTAGAAAGAAAGTTGTTAGTCAAATTTTATTCGATAGTCGTTATATTTGAAATTTCTGTTGTTTACGGTGATATATGCTCTAAATGCTATATGACTGACTCCCACTAAAGCTGGAATATGGCAGTTGTGAATGCCTGTCAATTCTGCTTTTAATTGTTTGGGTGGCACTGATGGTTTATAATGGTGATAAATCTTTTATGCACAATAGTGTCCTTGCATTTGACGGAATTGCTGTGAGTCAATAACCATATTTCGCCTTTAGGTTTTTTTTCAGGATGATTTATTGCTCTAGAGATGTTCTTTTTTTTTGTTGTTCATGCGGCCTCGCTGGTTGCTTTGGGGCGTGTTCGCGTTCGAATTCCATTTGCCACGTATCATCGGTGGAAAGGGCATTTTCATGTTTCGCTTATCCTCTTATCAGTTACATATCTTGCAATACTTCCACTTCCTGTACGGCTAACTCGTTTTTGAAGCATATATATGTTCTTGTAGAGAGCTTTCTTACGCACTTATATTGTTATTGGATTACTTGTTTCGGGATATTGTTTTCCTGCACTTGTATCTGCACAGCCTCTTATTCGTTATTTGCAGCCATGACGTCCAGAGGACTTGCAGTAGCGATGCGAAATGCTCCTCGATTGTTGCAGCAGTCTCAGCGCTCTGCTGCGCATTTCACCTATATGCCATCAGGAGTAAAGCAGGAGATTGCTAGTGGTATCGGTTTGAACACTATTTTTTTCTGTCACTAAGCTCATAATTTATGTTAGGTTTGATGCAACTATTTTAACAAAAAAAAGTAGGACGGGACATTATTACGGGAATTTTTTCCAAAGCTTTGTTGTCCAATGAGATCAGACTCATAGGTATTTTCAGTATCTGAGTCTCTAAGATCTTAGCTGAAAGCTTACAGAATTTTACTATTTGAAATAAATCAAATCCCGTTGGTGAATTTCTGTGCCTTGTCTTTCATTAATCTGTCGTGTAATCTTATCTGAGTCAATCATAAGTTCAGCTGGTGGTCCTTTGGAGAAAATGAACCTTTGTCAAGCAGTAAACAGCGCGCTACACATAGCAATGGCAAAAGATGACACAGCTTTGTTGTTCGGAGAAGATGTCGCATTTGGAGGCGTGTTTAGATGCACAGTGGGATTGAAAGACAAATTTGGTCAGTTGGGTGAAATCTGTAGAAGGATGTGTGCCGTGATTATACATATGATGACATAGATTCTATGTTTGTTTCTAGGAGAGGAACGCGTGTTTAACACACCTCTTTGTGAGCAGGGGATCGTTGGATTTGCTATAGGAGCCACTGTGGGTGGCAGTACTGCAATTGCCGAAGTTCAATTTGGTGATTACATCTTCCCAGCTTATGACCAAGTACGTTTTTTATAACACTGCATTTCTTTCAAGCTAAGCACTTCTTTAAGCTGGTCAATGAAGCTGCGAAGTACCGTTATCGTAGTGGAAATATGTTTAATTGTGGCGGACTCACCGTGCGTGCCACATACGGTGCAGTGGGACACGGCGGATTGTATCATTCGCAAAGTCCGGAAGGAAATTTCACTCATACACCTGGTTTAAAGGTTGATCACTTTTTGATGTTGACTTTTAGTGATGCTGTTTACACATTGTGCTTTAACTTCTCATTTCAAAGTCCATGGACTTCAACCTTTATCTACTCGTTATCTTTTCGACATTTCTTTTTGCATCAGTGTCACATTTAAAGGAAAATAACGGAACAAAATGTTTGTAATGCTATAGTTTCTTTTCTGCTCGTAAAGACAAACAAAAGGTTATCAGTTGCTCTAAGTTAGGAAGGCAAAGTGCTGTTATAGTACACCATAACTGACAAAGAAACAAGGCATTATTGTTTAGTTCTTTAAATATATACCTAATTCAGTGTGGAAATACTCTCGACAAACGTGAAAATACTGATCAAAGCTATATAGTACAATCCAAATGTTTAATTTGTGAAATCTGGGAATGACTTTCACAATTCTCTATTTTTTAACGCCTTTTTAAGCATTCTTTTTCAAATCTTGCCTTTTTCCCATGGTTTGATCTTCGTATTAACTTTGGTACAAATCACTTTATAGTCAAATAAGTCGTGTATCCAATGTATGAGACCCACTTGCCTATCTATACTTTGAGCCACAATTAAAAGGTCTATAACTAATTGCCTAGATCAAGAAAGTTTTTGTAGTGCCCGCCTTCAATTTCCAGCTATAATCATAAGAATTACCCTTTTTTATTGTACTAATATGACGCTTTTTCGAAGTCTCTCGTTTTGATTTTTCAACAGCAGACATGAAGCTGAAAAAGGGTATCTTTATATTCCAGATAATTGTTCCACGTGGACCAGTACAAGCCAAAGGACTTCTATTGTCATGCATCCGTGATCCGAACCCATGCATCTTCTTTGAGCCTAAGGTGCTGCAACCTGTTTCTTTCTTTCTTTTCGTAATCATGACATGAGTGTTTCCAGATTCTTTATCGACTGGCAGCTGAAGAGGTACCCACTGGAGATTATACAATTCCATTAAGCCAAGCAGAAGTTGTTAAAGAAGGTGTGTCTGGTTAAAGTGTTCTATGTCATAATAACATTTCAAAAAACATCTTTGTCTTCTCTTGAGAATTAAGTATGTCTACTATTCTTCCATTCATTCTGCTGTGTAGGTGGCAGTACTACTAATTTGGTAAAATGTGCTCATTGATTGAAATGCCCAAAAGATTGGTTAGAGCTGTTACTTTTACTTTTTTTCAGCAATGTATTAAAATAAGTGTGAAAGCATGGCGTGGTCACATTAAGCAAGCAATTTTTGTCAATCTTCCTCTTTCGCATTAACTAGCAAAATATAAGCATATTAGAACCTTGAAAATGACGCCAATTTTCAAAGGAAGGATATTACATTTTTTAATGTCCGGCAGAAAGTATATCACGTTTGGAGGAAGGGGATTAGGGGCAAATTTAATTCCGCCAATCAAAAGTTCGCCTCGAAATCCCAAAACGGTTTTTTCAAACAAAATTTGACGGTAATACGGTATAAACTATAAACCCATAACGATTTCCGCCCATTTTCTTTCTCTTGTATGTGGTCAAACCATCAATAGCGTCCTTTTGTAAGATTTTCGTGCACTATCTTGTGTCTTTTACGAAAATTGGATAAAATTTTGCATAGGAAAGTGCCAGTAATCTGTAGAAATATTATCGAGAAAGCTAGTAAGATGTTGAATGCAGTCTAGTAGTGTGAATTAATTTGCTTTAGGAACCGATGTGACAATAGTTACTTGGGGTACCCAGGTGCATGTTGCTCTTGAAGCAGCGCAGTTAGCTAAGGAGAAGCTCAATAAGAGCGTGGAAGTCATTGATTTGCAGACGATCATGCCTTGGGATGAAGAAACTGTTGTAAAAGTGAGCCTTAAGCACTATATGCACTTGTATCATCTTCATTATCATTCGTTAAAAATGATGTGGTTTGGCTCAGAGTGTTGAGAAGACGGGACGACTCATAGTCACTCACGAAGCTCCGATGACCTCAGGATTTGGAG